GGCAGCCGTGTGTCTGCATGTGGGAAGTACGCAGACCTCTGCCGCCAGCGTACCGCAAGAACAAAAACAACAACAACCATTGGTACTTCTACTACTAATGGACAGCCAAAGGCGGTGATGGCTATTTGGAGTATGGGTAGTTGGGGATCTGTAAAAGTAGAACAGGATACGCCTTCTGTTGTACAAGAAAGGGATCAACAACTGGGCAAGGAGAAACTCGCTGAACCTGAAGCACATACAAGTGATAATCAAGGCGCTCTGAGAAACGGAGATGGAAGAGGACAGCAAGAGCCCAATGGACCTACGTCTGGTGTACACCCACAAGATGGTCGTGCAGACGGTGGGGAGTCACGCAATGATATTCCTTCGGGACGAGATGCAAAACATGGGGTTAAAGGAGAGGTACCGGAATCAGGAACAAGTACGGTGACAGCAGAAACAGGAGCGAGTTCTACTACACAAAGTAATCAAGGAGTTTCAAGCACCAACCAGTCTGGTGCACCTGTTGCAACAGAAAGCCAAACTCAACAGTCTAATGCAGCTACAATGGATAACCAAGAATCGTCGGATAACACAGCTGATAACAGTACAATGGCCACCACTACCACAAATGGGACAGCATCCACTAATGATAGTTCAGGTAACAGTGTGACTGCCGCACCAGACTCACAAGAAAACACTTCCACTACTCCGGTGAGCACCGAGAACACTACCACAGAAGCACCAACCACAACACTTCCTCCTGGACCTGTACCTAACGCAGGGATCACCACTATTGCTTCCGCAGTACAGACGAACAAGCCCATTGTTGACAGCAGTGTTAGTCCTGTGTGGATGCGCACTGCAGCACCGCTGCTGATTGTGGCTGTGTTGTTCTCCGCTACTGTGTACTGAACGGTGGGACGCATCTGAGGACAAATAATAATAATAATGGTTAAACTAACATAATCATAATTGCGTATATCCCCCATGGGTGAATAAATTAATAATCTGTTTACCAGCTTTCTCTTTCAATTGGGATTTCTTTTCTTTTATGTGTGTGTGTTCTTTTTCTCATAATTCCATTACTTGCTTTTCCCGTTGTGTGTGTAGAAAACTGGGCTGTTCTGCTCACTGGCGGTATACATTTATTCTAAATATAGACATGCGTATGTGTGCAGTAATTTAATACATAAACTAGAGCCTTGGGATATTGTGTGTGGTTTTGGCTCTCTCTCTTATTTGGGTATTGTGTGGTGTTCTCTTTTCATTTCTATTAATGGATACATACTATCACTACAAGCGGGATATTCTTTTTTCTTGCTTTACTGTGTTGTTGCTTCTCCCTGTTCCACTGTGAGTATTTGTTGTATTGGTGTATGTGTCTTTGTTTCTATCTCATTATTTCTTTCTCTTCCTACTTTTCTTTCTTGTGTGAGTCTATTGAAGTAAACAACAACAATGACAAAGGCTGTAATGGTAAGGTGTTATCTGCTCTGTTTACTAACTCTTGCACTCTGTTGTGCTTGTGGGTTAGTATGGGCTGATGGTCCTAATGCTTCTGAGTCCAGTAATTGTGTTACGATTGTTGGTGTTCCTCCTTTTGTTAAGACTGTTTCTTGCGAAGAGGCCCGTATTGCTATTAAGGCTGCTGAACCCACTTTACGGCGTTCACCCAAACAAGCTAACATGACACATGGTGATCCTGGTGTACAAGGAGGTAAACATGTCACTACGAATTCGCATCAAGAGCAAGAAGTATCCCAAAGTGATCACGCAAAGGTAACAGTTGATTCTGAAAATAAAGTTAGAAAAGGAACTCAGGTTGTTCAACAAACCTTAGAGGCAGACGGCACCCCTTCAGGTACTCGGGGACACAATAATCATGTTTCTTCCCCTGAGTCTGCAAAAGGACGGATTACAAAACCAACTGAAGAGCATCCCCCTCCAGCTTCTCCTGTTTCTGATAGACAACAGTCAGGTGAGGCCCCATCTGAATCCACACAAGCAAATGGAGAGAACCCAACAGTCTCAGCATCTGCACCTAATGGTGGCGACCATAGGAGTACACATGAGAACACATCACCAATGCAAGAACAAGAAGGAGAAGAAGGTGCAACCTCTCAGGATTCACAAGCTACAACCAAC